GTCTTCGTCGTGGGGGCCGTGGTGTGCTCTGTGGGCGCTGGGTAGCAGCCCTGGCCTCTAGCCGCTAGGTGCCAGGAACGCTCCACCCCGACCCCCCACCCCAAACTGCGACCGTCAAACATGCCTCCGACGTTCCCCACGGTCTGCGGGGCGGGCGGGGGATCGGTGGGGAACCACGTAGCGAGCCTCGAGGGGCCGAGGCTGCCCAGACCCGACAGGGGGTCGCCGCCCCGGAGCTGCACGGCCCCCCTCCCGGGACCCGCGGGGACGTCAGTGGCGTGTGTGTGTGTCAGTTTCAAGGGCGTTTTCTTTCAGAGCGAGTGGGTTCCAAGTTGATGCCTGAAATATTTGCGAAGAGATGTGTTCGGTTTTGAATGGGTTTGAGTTGTTTTCCGTTATTTATCTCTTTTATTTTTAGTTGTATTCGTTAATTTTTTATTTATTTTCGCTTTCTAGTTATTTAGTTTAATTTAGCTTCAGTTACCGATTTGTAGTTATTTTATTTTCGAGGTTACTTCGTTTCTGAGTTATTGGTTTTTACTTATTTATGTATCGCTATTTTGTTTTCGGAGTTATGGATTTTCAAATTAATTGAGAATTTATTTTTAGTTGTCTTTCTGATCGTTTTCTGAGTACTTTCATAGTTATTTCATGTTTATTTATTGAGAGTTTTTGAGTTATTTATTTTTACAGTTATTTATTTGACTATGAAACTCACTGGAAGTTTTTGAACTACTTAGAGTTATTTATTTTCAGAATGAAATTTTTTAGTAATTTTAAGGATTTTCTCCCTAGTTTTTAGTTTTAGAGTTGCTAACGTTCAGAGGCATATCTTTTCAGTTAATTTAGATTATGAGTTTTTTATTGCTATATTCATGCATTATTTATTTTCTGAGTTATTTGAGTTTTAATGATTTCACTTTCAGAGTTACTTCATTTTTGGATGTCATATTTTCTGTTTTTTATTTTCAGAATTGTTATTTAATTTTTTAGTTATTTTCACAGTTACTTATTCTCAGTTATTTCTTTTAAATTATGTCTTTGCTGTTAAAAAAAATTTTCTGTTCTTTATTTTTATTTCGTTTCAGATTTATTTTCAGAATTACTTAAAGTTGGAACTACTTAGTCTATCAGTCAGGGTTCAATCAAGAGACACTTTATCGGTTATTTTAAAGAGAATTTAATATAAGAATTGTTCTCCAAATATTGGGGATTTTAAAAAATAATAAAAAGAAGTGATAATGAGATCTGAAAATTTCAGCTTCAAGAAGGACTGCCAGAACAAAGGGAAGTGGTTGGAATGACCAAAACCCAGAAGCTTGGCGGTGCCCCCCTGGGCTGGGGGTCAGTCCCGAGGACAAGGTGCTGCCAATGGTACGAATGGCTCAGGAGGTCAGGGTCCCTTCTGAAGCTGGGTCACTGCCAACCCATGCTGATGTCTCTGAAGGGGCATCACAAGGCTGGTTGTGACAGTGTTGGGGAAATGGCCAACTGGAACCAACTGCTGCTACTGGAATGGACTGTGACCGTTAAGGTGAAGATCTGTCCTCAAGGGGGTGCCAACCGGAACCCAGCACGAGGGAGCTCACTATGGTCCTGCCACAAAGCACCGCAAGCAGGAAGCCGGAGTCACGACTTCATGACCAGCACACTGCGCTCTGGAGTTACTTAGTTTTCCAGTGAGTTTTGGATTTGGTTAGTTTTGGAAATGTGAACATTGATTTGATTTCAGGTTTTCAGGAGGCATTAGGCCCATCTGAGTCTTCAGTCTCCTGATTTATTTCTGGAATAGAGTGGGCCACAAATACCTGGCAGGGGTCTCTCCCACGAGACTCAACACAATCACCTTAAAATTCAAGAAAGCAAAAGTAGTGTGTCTCACTCTGTTCATAAAGAAACCCTTTGATTGGGTGACCAATAAAAGAGGGCAGAAATGAAGGGACAGACTGTTAGGAAGGGCTCCCCAGAACAATCGGCCAGCAGAGTATTCCTCTCTGAAATTTTTCAGAACTTTAAGCTGTTTTGTAGGGCCACCCTCTTCCACTCACTTTCCTAACAGCATAGTGTCTTTCTTGTTAGAGTGTGTCTCAAATTTCATAGTGTTTCAAGAGTTTGCACCATAAAATAAAGTTCTTCCCAAATCTATAATCTGTAATCTTAGATTCTTCAACCTGCATTATTTTTCAGCACGTGTTATTCCATTTTGACCACAAGAACGTTTATGTATGTATGTACGGGCAGGGCAAGGGAGGAGGCAAAAACTTGGGATTTATTTATTAAAAATTGTGTATTTATTCTTTCATGTTTAAACTTCAGTCACCTTCGAAGTACTCTCCATTTGATGTGATACACCTATCGAGATGCTTTTTTCACTGCCCATTTTTGAACTCATCAATTTCGATACATGCTAGTGCTTTTGCTGTTTTTTGTTTCACCTCTTCCACATCTCCCTTTGTGGACTTTTTCAATTGGAAAAACAAAAAAAGTTGCCAGGATGAGATTGGGTGAATAGGGAGGGTGGGGCACGGGGGTCAGTGCCATTTTGGGTCAAAAACTGCAGAACACTCAGCATGGTGTGGGCAGGTTGTTCCCATAAATCACCCACCATGAAATAGGCAAACATATTAACAGAATCTCCCCTCCAAAATTCACTGAAGTCAAACACAACCTCTCACAACAACGCTATCTGGTACACCGATGCTTTTGGGTTCCCAGAACACTTATCTAGCGGGGGAAGCCTGTACGACCAGGGGCCCACCTTTCAAAAGGTAATTCCAGGTTTTGTTGGGTCCCCCTCATATGTACTCATTTAACACTTATTTCCTGATCACTTCCTGTATTAGGGAAGGTTCTGACGACCAGGGGAGCCAGAGAGATAGGAAGGTAAGTGAGAAGCTCTCAGCCCAAATGTGAAAACATATTCACAATGTGATGTGTCACATACTCCGGGTTGCAGAACACTGTCACTGACACTTTCTGAAGTAGCAAGTGTTTTCTCTCATGAAAAAGGAGAAGGGGACCCTGGCTGGCAACAGCACATGCTCAGACACAAGGGCACAAAGGAGCTGCGCACGGCAGGGAGGGCGAGTTGGCAGGGGCTGCTGGGCCACAGAGCTCAGAAAGGCACTGACCTTAAGGGCTGCCCTGGCACCTGACGGATCCTTTGGTCTTGCAGCAAGTCTGCAAGATCGTAGGAAGCAGCCTCGGAAGTCCAGTGCGTCTCCTAGCCTTGCTGTTCCAGATGTTTACATCTCTGGAAATCTTCGGTTCCTCCCTGGCTCCTCTCATTTGTCCATTGGAGGTGAGTCTCTCCCTTCTTCACCTTTTGATGCCTACTTCTTAAACATCTGTAGGGATGGAGGAGGGTTGAGATCAGCAGGCTGTGAAGCACAGGTGACTTCAGCTGCAGGGGGAGGTGAAGAAGAACAGAGCGGAGGAGATCTGCTGAGGGAATGGGGTGGGGAGGTTCCGCACACCCACATGTGGGGAGAGGCTCTAGGCATCACTAATCATGACTGTTTCAACTGCATGCAACCGCGACAGAAATGTTGTGGGGGTGCTTTTCCCAAAGGAGGAAGCTGCTTTAGACCCAACCCAGGCTTGTGGATGCAACAGATAGGGGTTTTTTAAGAGCACACAGAGCGTCTGCTGTATCAACAACAATGAGCGTATCTCCTAAATCAAAAGAAAGTATAGTCTTACACAATCTAGGATGGTGTGTGTAAGGTCAGTGTGCTGGTGTCGTGGGAAAGATGCAAAGAATTGCACAAAGAGTAGGTTAAAAAGAAAAAGTTTACTTAGAAGGTAAATCAGCGAAAAAGGGTATATCCACCTCTCCAAGACTGGAGAGGATACAAAATGCTTAAGGAACGTTTGATGCTGAATATTCAGGTGCATGGCTTATAAGGCTTTCTTTAGGAGTCAGGTAACATTTCCAGGTAAGCTAACACAGGAGCTGTCACCATGGTAATGGTTTGTTTAGGACGGCAGCAGCCAGAGTTTTAGATAATTGATTACATAGACAGGAAAATTAGCCCAAGATCTGTAAAACAAAGTTTCAAGACACAAACGTTAATGTTGGATTTAGGGAACAAAAAGGCATTCTGCTGGGAGTGCATTGTTCATGGGTAAGGT